TTTTATACCCATCCAACCCCTCTATAGGTTTTCTTGCCATAGGAATACCATGAAAATGTATAAGGAATAGGTGAAAATAGTACAAAATTATGCATAAATATTGAAAAAATACTTGATTTATTATAAACATTAAACTCAGTTGATTTACACCATTTTTCCTAATTTAAGAAAAATACATCTTTTCTTTCCATTCTTGGAAGAAAACAAGAAAAATAGTAACTGCACAGCTAGGGAGAAAATTTTTGTTTTGGAAGTATCTTATATTTTCTACTTAATTGTATTAATTTTTCAAAGGGCACTATTAAGAAGCAAGGGACCTTTTTATTGATTGTCGATTGGTGTCCCTTTTTATAGTGAAATAAAAATAAAAAAGTATATTTTGGATTTTAGCTGATCCCTTGAGTTTTATTTAAATAAACTATATGGGGGTTCTGTGGATAACATTCACACCATAGCTACTGGATATGTTCTAGAGGAGTTTCATGTAGATCTCTTTTGTCTCTTGATGGATTTATTGATGTAAGTTAAAGCTGCTCTCTTAAAATATTTTTATTGTTAAAATTGTCAAATCATGACATGTTTTTATATGTGTCCCTTTTGTGGAAAAGGTTGTTTAAGCAATATGTTGATGTCATTTATGAAATTTGCTCTATAGCTTTCACTCAGCCTTCGATCTGAAAAGCTACATGAGATTCTATCATTTGTTTCCCATGTACCATTATAGCAGGAAATGGCAACTAGCAGCAATTTTAAACATTTGGTACTCTTGGTATGAAAATGAATCAAATATCTGACAAGATTTGTTCCCGGTATGTATTTCATACCATTTTTTGGCATATAACAAATATTACTAACGGGTACTTTTAGTTTTGAAAATATGGACAACAGTACGCCATGCAGTAAAAGACTTGAGCGATTAATGCTACCCTTATGCCTCTTTTGAGTAGTTTTAGCCATGGGGCTTGGCACTGCCACCATTGTCTTTGTGCCAAAAAATATCCGCAGCGGCTGTCGCATTCTAGTACTGGAGGGTTGTCTCGAAAATTCCGCAGTGAATGCGTCGGGTTGGTACATCACTGTCTACTATCTTTTTCAAACACTAGAAAATAGAATCCTCTGCTATTGCAAACCTCATTTTAGGGGTAGGGTGGGGGAGGAAAGAGTCTGACCACTCCAGACCATTCAATGCAAGTGACTAAAATCCGTGTCTAACATATACAGTAAATGTAGAAATTAGGAGCTTTTGTGTTAGTGAGCACAAATAGTTACTTAAAGAGCCTATTCTAGCATATTATCAGCAGTCTTGAAAATTTTATTATCTGAAACAAATGTTCCAGTGAATTTTAAGCAGAAAATCGACATCAAGACCATAGCTAATTTTTAATGGAGAATTTATACAAAAGATTTTTTTTCCTGGAAAATGAAGTGTCATTTAAAAATATTTGCTTATTTCATCATCAGAAATGATGGTGAAAATAGATATATATACTTGAGATGGTCCCTGGGCTTTTTCCATAAGCACTGATTATTTTGCTCCCAAACAAGGGTTTTCATTCTGAAGGCAGATTTATAGTTGAATTTGGGAACAAAAAAGATGTAATAAAGTTAAAGGCTTACACTATCAGAATGAAATGTGTTCACTCATGATCTCCAGAGTTATCTGTTTGATGGTAAAAGTGGATGCTACAGATGAAATCTTTACAAGGAGCATAATCCTTTAAAAAAAAAAAGTCAATCTCCCAATCTCCTGCTGGCTGCTCTGCCTCTTTGGTACCTCACAGACTTCGACAGAGTCCTGGACGAGTGCCCATTGATGTCATGGAAACACTCAAATTACTGAGAATGATTCATGTCTATGCTGTTCTCTTATCCTCCCCCACACAAACAGGAGTAGATTTTTAACCCTGACAACTTGTAATTTGCAATGGGTTTATTTTTGTATCTAGATAAATATTTTTTAACATCGGAAATTAAGATGAGGCAGCCTGTATCTGATATGATAGTAAAGAACATTAGTACTATGCAGCCAAGATTACATTACTTTTAAGGTTATGTGTTCCATGATTCTCTCTCTCTTTCTTTCTCTCTCTCTCTCTCTCTCTCTCTCTCTCTCTCTCTCTCTCTCTCAAAAAAAAAAAAAATCCTAAAACACAGAATAGGATTTTACAACATAATTCCAGAAACACTCAAGTTATTTGTGTATCTTATCTTTTGATACTGGTGTTTGATATTTGAGCATAAGATTTGACAATGACATTTCACATTCAGCAGCTCAGTCTTGCCCATGGAATAGCAAGATAGATCTTCTGCCTTCTTCAAATTGTGTTTAGAAGTCATTTTTAAAATAATAGGGGTGAGGTGAAGAGGAAGAAATTAGGCATGACTTCCTGGAAAGTAAAAACAAATTTCATCTTGAAAATTATATTCTGATCTCAGTAAAAAAAATGTATTCTGTATATGTATGTATTTTTACTGTTAAACTAGAATAGCATTTTCAGATCAAAGAGCTAAAGAAGAATATGCCACACCCTCACAATGATACCTGATTTTAGCCCATTTTCTTCAATAAGTGGTTTGATTTGTTTAAATAGGAATGCAACTAATATTTGTAATCATTTTACTATTTCTATTGAATTCTGTGGCTTAGTCCTCTTCCTCAAACCTCTAGCAATTTTCAGACTAAGAGGTGGAAGAGGGTGATTTAAAAATTATGTATTGACTTCCTCAGTGGATATGTCCATTTTATGGCTGTTCTTCACTGCTTCCAAGAGTCTTTTTTTTTTCATTATTGTTAGTGTTCTTTCTATAGACACAGGTCAGGGACCTTTCTGTCCCTTGGTAGAAGGTCTTCATAAATTCCTTTGACTACAGAAAGAAAAAAGAAAAGATATTGTTCAGTAGCAAACTTTCTGCTCGTGAACCTTTGTCAACTTGGTTCTTGAATCATAGAAGCATAGCCAGGAAGAGGATCCAGGAAGCTTTTCTACCATGTTAGCATTTGCCCAAGCCTAAGCTCTACTTTCATAAATGCTGAGAGTCCATGGTCACCTCTGTACCATGATGAGGTGCTTGGAATGAGCTTTAGCAGATATGAAATTTTAGGTCTATGTTTTTCTTCAAACAAAAATGAGATATACCAAGAATGAATTAACTTTGGTAACACTTTCATCATGCAAGTACTAGGCTTTTTGAAGAATGATTCTTCATGTGTGGCAATGATGCAATGAGTACAATGAGGAGCAGCTAGGCCTTCACTCAGTGTTTATTGACAGTAATGAGGTGGGTAATTCAAATACATGCTGCCTGTTTTCTCAGTTGTCTTAGATGGGCCTTGAGGTAGTAAGCATTTTTAGGATTGTATATATCTGTTGACTGTTCTAGCTAGCATTGGTTTTTTCACAGAGACAATATTGAAATATTCAAATAGAGCTGTGGGCTCATAGCTGTGGGTGTTCCTTACAGTGATGCACGTTGCAATTCATCCTGGCCTGCCAATCCTTAGCAACTCTTGTGCACATCTTTCAAGTTAGAATGTAAGCTTGCCTTTTAGATGTAAACTCTTGGAGTAAGAATTGTTTCATTCTTAGTATATTTGTATTCCCAGTGCCTAGGGGAGTGCCTCATTTATAACAGGTGCTTAATAAATGCTTGTTGATTGAAATTCTCCCTAGCAAGTCTATTTGATACACCAGGAGCCTGTTTTTGTTTCTGTTCATATTAAGAAGATACAGGGGAAAGCAGATAAGCTATCCACTAGTTATTCCTTACTCCTGCCATGTGACTTAGTCAGTCATCCTTTTTTAATTGTACATTTCTTTGTACCCTTTACTCTGATTCAAACTCACTGAACACATCCTTATTGCTCTCTGATACAAGGAAGAATAAAATCCTTGCTAGTTAACATTGTTTAAAGCCTAATAGTTTCAAGGGAAGAGGTGTAGAAATGCATCACCTAGTTCTGTTAGTGTTCTCAGTATCTTGATACTATCTCCTCCTACTAGACAGCTAGATCTTACGTATTTACCTGTATCTAAAAATTTTCCACCACAAGACTTTGTGTAATATTGGTTGATATCTACTCTCAATTCTTATTTAATTTGGCTCTTTAATCTTACCTGATTTATGATTAAGGCTAAAAATATTTTTAAAAGAAACAAAAGAGAAAATTGTCTTTTACTCTTATATATGGCCAGAATGTATCCCAGCCACTTTTCAGCATTTGATTACTTAAAGAAAAACAAAACAGTCTTCAGAAACAAATTAGGTAGTTGGTGCTGGTACATGATGTTGGTTTTCAGTGAGCCCCTGCTTAGCTCCTAGGACTATTGGTGGAATTGGAACCTTAATTCTGAATGGGCAAATGTCCAACCAAATCTCTTTCTCTCTCTCTCCTGTCTCTCTCTCTCCTCTCTTTCTCTCCCCCTCTCTCCCTCTCTCTGTCTCCAATTCCATCATCATGTTGATCATGAGGGAATTTACTCCTGGGAAAGAGGTTCAAAAAAAAAAAAAACCCACCAGAATTCTGAATAGTTTCTTTCTAAATTCACCATCTGGAGAGCCTGTGATTGATTAGCTTTGGCCTCACCATTAAGTGTCAATATAATCAATGGGAATTACTATGCTAGGGTCATTACATAGATAGTTTGCCTGCTGTGTAAATAAAAATGAAATTGTTTAAAATTTGAGGGAGAGAATGAAAGTGAAAATAAGGAATGTCAATTTGTTTGTTAGAGAAATTGGAGGCCATTGAAATGACAGTTTTTGGAAGTGTGGAGCAGTTTGGCTAAGAATAGGAATGAAGGATATTTTTTTCCAGTTTATCATAGCCAGAGTGAAGAAGTGTTAATCCCTTTCTCTTGCTTGCATACATTGCCGTTAGTGCCTACTTTACATATGTAAACATCGGAAGAGAAAAGTAGATATCTGTTACCTGGAGGAGATTTTTTGAAAGAGGAAAACAAAAATTTACACACCTTTTTTTTTCAAATTTCTGTTGACAGGTAAAACAGAAAGGGGTTCATACTCGTCTTATGGGAGAGAATCAAACTTACAGGGTTGCCACCAGGTAAGTGATAATCTATGCAGTGGAAGAGGTTGTGATAAATAGCCTGGTAAATTAGTTTGTTTTGTAAAGTAGATTATGCATTTTAGATTTTGACACAGCTATTCATTGCATGTTTGCCGGTGACTATTTCTTTTAAAATACTAAGTAAGGAATCACGTTCTATTCTCAATCTATAACCTCAGCTTTTGTCCTACCTTCTCACACTCAGTCACTGGTTTGAATTTGTATTTAGAGCCACCTTTCAGTGTTTCAGTGATGATGTTTGTAAACTATTAATGCTTTTTTTATAAGGGTTCCATCGGAACAATTTCTTCATAATTCGGCAACTTCTAGAATGATGAAACTCCCAACACCATGGAGCATGTGTCAGACCCTGGTTTTGGTGGCTATTGCCATAAATTATAGTTTTCGTAGAGACTGTATGATGTTGTGTGAAAACAGGGTTGTATTGAAGGATAAAAATGTCTGTGAAAATATGATTTGTTGTCCCTTTTTGTTTCTGAATTGTTTTTGGCTGGGAGTCAAGGCCAGCAGGCTAACAGCAAAGCCGTCTCAAGGGAAGCATGCGTGAGCTAGAAAAATAAGAGGACTTTAATTAAATAATAAAATGCCAATGTAATACAAAGGTATAGCATGTGTGTATTTGTGCCTCTGTGCACTCTGCATTTGCATACTTTTAACTCTCCAGAGAGAGACTTGATTCTAAAACTACTATCAACAGCCAAAAGTCTAAGCTTTGTTTTAAGACAATTGAGTTTTTGAGAGATGCTTTCTCTTTAATTTCAGCATTGGCATTAATAACATGTTTAAAACTCTTTCATATTTTTAAAAGCACAGACTTTTCTTTTTATTAGTGCATAGATTTGTTACTTTGGGAAACTTCAAAGAATTTAATAACCCTTTTTAATATTCAGGGTCTTTCACTGTGTTATTATTCCTCCAAACAGAATGCACGTTCTTATTGTGTTAGATTGGAAATGTATGCTCTTTTGAACACCTTCATCACCTATATTCTTTAATGATATAGAAAATTTTGTTCTTGCATTTTTAAAACAACTTCTTTAGTTTAGCCCAGAAAATTGTAGACAAAAACTAGTTTTAGGAATTGAATGGAGCCCATGTAGTTATCTTCATTATCTATCACTAATACACCTCTAAAGGTGGAATTAGGGTTGTCTTTGTGCATCTGTTTCCTTTTTCAAGTTTTGCCTATTCCATTGCGCCCCCAGTTCAGTCATATTCTGCACATAAAGGATTGTGGAGATGAGATAAATTGTGGCTTGGTTAAGGACTAATGCAGCACATGTTGTAGAGTGCAGTTCATGGCAGTTTGTTTGGAAAGAATTCTGCAGGAAAGAAATTTACAGCGCTTCCACTGTAGCGGAAACATCTTTGGAATGTGAGTGCAAATGTTCGGGGTAGATAGCTTGGGTGACAAGCCTCTTAATGCTGTGTCTCTAGTGTAAAGCTTTCAATTCCTGTAGAAGGTCCTATTCCTGTGTATCTGGTTTCTGAGGGTCAAGGCAGAAATCATTAAAGTTTTGGGGAGAAGAAGGTTGACAACATCCTTCCTTTTTGCAGATGGTGATGGAATAGGTCTGTGTTTTCACTGGGCCCCTTTTGTTGGTCAATGAGAGAATAGGCGTGCTTGCCCCTGCATCCTTTCTTACTAATAGGAATTGGCGTGATTCCTTACAGACACAAAGATTTCCTCTGCTGACTAAGCGAGAGGCCCCTTAACTTGTGAAATCATCATTCAGACTGCTTGAGTCTGACTGTTTATGTATAGGAATACATACACTAGGTTTGCGGGGAACACTTTCCTCTGGTGAAACTGCAGTGGTGCCTTTTTCAAGGACAAGGTGAGATGGAAAGCTGGGAGGGGCTGAAGGGTAAGGGTGAAGGTAGTTCATTGTATGATGTTTGGAATATGGGTCTTGAGAATACACACATGTGAGTTTGTGTACATATGTGTCCAGGCAATCAATATATGTTAAATATGTAAGTGAGATGGAGTGTGTTTTTCTTGTAGTGTAATGATGTGGTGGTCTTCATGTACTAGACAGAAAAGCAACTCTGAACTGTGGAAGATTCCTTCATTCTTATTTCTGCTTGCTGGGTGTGAATCTTGCATGGATCAGCGATCACTATCCATAGCATCGTCTCAGCAGTAACCATGAATAATATGGTTACTTAGGGACAAAGACACGGCAATATTTTGGAACCTCTTTGGATTTAGGAAATAGAGTCTGAGGGTTATAATATGTTGACACAACTTTTTTTTAATTAGTTAATGAATTTTGAATTTATATTTTTACAGAAATTGGGAATAGAACAAGATATGGTATATTCTAAAACATTATTTAGTCTTGTTCCCTTTTATTCAGTGAAGGTGGACTGAACCCTCAGCTATGTGAAGCACAGAGAATGAAGTCCTTGTATTTTGGACTTCTTGTCGAAATCGATCATAGTTTAAATGAGTCACTGCCGAATGAGAAAGGGGTGCTCTCATAGATGAGAAGTGATTTACTTTTCTTTCCCCCCTTTTCACTTCATTACAGAGTTCTTGAAGTGGGGAGCATTTAGATGGCAGGTTCTAAGAATCACCAAAGGCATGATTATGTATCGGTGGGTCATGTGGACAATACTAGGATGAACAATGTATAAAGTATAGCTCTGTTAATGTGCATACATGTGTACTGTAACCCCATGCCAAGGGGCTTTTGAACTCTTAAGCTACAGAGAATTCGAAGGAAGCAACAGGTACTATCATTAAAGGGGAAGGGGTATAACATTATATTGGACGGATCTTAATAATTTCAGTTTTTAATGTCTTTTATTTCTATTGAGGATTTAGTTGTCCAGTTCTTAGCAGTAATAGTGTTAGTCATGTGACTTACACAACTTGTAAATCTTATGGCAGACAAACAAAAGCCATCATTCTCTCTTTTTATCTACCAACTATTTTTAATGAAAAACAGTAATGGGATAATAGAAAGTTACTGAATCAATTAATTGTGAACTTTCCTGAGATAAACATGGGCATGTTGTATTTACTAACCCAGTGTTTTAAGGAAAAGGAAAGAAGAAAATCATAGGTATTTTAAAAAACAGAAAGTGACATTTTAGCTCTTCTCTTACTAAATGATGACAAAACTAATTTAAATCAAATCGGCTTATGGAAATCACACCCAGGCTGAAAACACCCCTGCCAAAATGCAACCTCATACAACTTTTTACTGGCAGAGAGAAGAAAATGTATAATGGAAAGTCTGACAGGAACTAAGTCGAGTGGAAATGAACTTTTTAGTAAGGTGGTCCAAGTTTAGTGCTATAGCTAATGACAGCTTCTCAGCAACCCTTGCCGGAGACCACAGGAAGACACATTTCTTTCTTCTTTGTGGTCCTGGATGATTTCAGAACCTCATATTTTGCTGAGGTGTCCATTTGCTAACTGGCTTGTTGATGTCACTAGGACAGATTATGGAAGTGAATACAGGGACTTTCTTGCATAGGAAAATGGAAGAGGAAAAAACAGTATTGTCAAATGATCATCTATAGTTTACTTTTTAATATCTTTATCCAGGAAGTTCAAAGCACTTTAGAGTTGGAGATAGAAGACCCAAATTCAATGTTTACCTCTACCTCTGACATTGGGAATGTCCTTTGTTGTTTTGTCTTGATATTCTCATCCTAAGAAAGGTGATGCTCCTCTCTATGTGGAACTGTGGCATTGATGCAGGGAAAATAAGTGAAAGAATGTTTGTGAGTTCCCTTGGGATTTTTTTAAAGAAAATTTAGAAAGGGAATGCATTGTGCTTCATTGTTACGTTTACCTGGTAAAACCTCTTCAACTGAGATTGGTCTGAAACCTTTGTTATTCTTTCTGTCTAATCATACAGGCATTTTTTAGATAATGTGATGACTAGCTTTTTATAAGAATATTCAAATTAACCATCAGAGCCTTACTTAAGACAATGCAGATTAAAGCGCTCTGGTAGTCCAAGGCTTTAGTACACTTATGTTCACAAAGGTAGATATATCCAGAGAGGCCAGTCCTTTCAGTTCAAGCTCCCCTACCCAAATTTTTTGAACATAGACTTAGTTTAATCACATTTTTTTCTATACCTTCCATAACACTCAAGAGATATGTGTTCACTAAGGTAAGAATGTATGTTTCTGAAAATGTTAAATGAGTGGGGCAGGACAGAAATATTTTGAATGATCAAAGCATTTGTAGTCCTTTTTGGAGTATCCTTTATTGTTACAAAGTCTGTGTCTGTTAATTTGGGGACACAATGTATATTCTATAATAATTTGCTCATAAAGACGTCATGATAGGTTTGTTACATTTAAAAGCATATTTCATTCTTAAATAATTGTATTTTTAAAATAAGTTTTGTTGAGTCCTTTTATTTTTTGTATCATAACTTGTAGAAATGCTCTTCACCCCTGCTAGAATTAAACCTTCCCTTGTAACAAAGAAAAACTATTAAGCAAAAACACCTGATACAGTGACTTTTTCTTACAATGTGACTTTATGAACATTCTGACCTACATGTCCCCCTACCTTTTTAGATAGGTGAGAAATGCATTTCATTCTCTACCTTCTTAGGACCAAGAGTAGTTTTTGAGTTCTTGACAGTTCATTTTCTTTTAGGGATCTTTTAGGGATGTTGTTGTAGTCATTGAATAATCATACATTTTTATTCAAGGAATTCGCTTTTAAGTGTTTTAAATTTTTGATGTTTGAAAAATGAGATAGCAAATATAGGTTCCCCACTCCCAATTTGTGAGTAATTTAAAACAAGGCCTTTAGAGCCAAATTCAACAAGGGAAAACCCACAAGCAAAGAAGGCACTGACACATTTTGTTTTCTCTGAAATTGCTAGTGACCTCTGAGAACAGAAACACAAATTATGTTTTTATTTGAGAGATATATTGTGTTGGAATTGTAATGGCCTGAGACATTATGGACATTTTTTCATGAAAATATTATG